CAGCCCTGGTCTTATTGCAGTGCTATAATGGTCACGACCTTCCTGGACAATGGCCATGGTCAGTGTTTGCTGGACAAGCCCCAGAAGCCTCAGCAGTTACCACAGGCTCTGCCAGGTTCAGTTTACGATGCCAACAGACAGTGCCGTCTCACATTTGGAGAGGAGTCCCGGCACTGTCCGGACCAGAACACCACCTGTGCTGCCCTTTGGTGCATGGTCACAACTGCAAATGGCTTGCCTGTCTGCCAAACCAAGAACTTTCCATGGGCCGATGGGACGCCTTGCAGGTCTGACAGCTACTGTATGGCAGGCCGATGTTTGAGTAGGTCCGAGGCTGCCAAGTATCAGGTGAGCACCATTTGGTGTGCCATACAGAATTGATGTTATTCTGATTTGTGACTGACAATGGTTCTGTCCTGTCACCTTTTAGACTCCAGTCAATGGCGGATGGGGAGACTGGGGACCTTGGGGAGATTGCTCCCGTACCTGTGGAGGAGGTGTGCAGTACTCTATCAGGGAGTGTGACAATCCCCTACCCAAAAATGGCGGCAAATACTGTGAGGGCAAGAGAATTCAGTATCGTTCCTGCAACACCGAGACCTGCCCTGATAGCAATGGTAAGGAATGGTCCTATTGCTGTTTTTGCAACAACATGCAAGTCGCTTGATTTACAACTGTGTTTATTTGCGCAGGTTTGACATTCCGTGAAGAGCAGTGTTTGGCCCACAATGACATCTCCTCTCAGGTGTTATTTGGCTCAGGAGAAGGCGTCGAGTGGGTGCCAAAGTATGCCGGGGTGTCTCCCAAGGACCGCTGCAAGTTGATGTGCCGAGCAAAGGGAACAGGCTACTTCGTCATTCTGAAGCCAAAGGTGAGTGTTCCAATTAGCCTGAGTTGTAAAATCTAGCAGTGGTGTAGTGGATGCACTGGAGATGTTTAATCCAAGGTTCGTTCCAATGCCTTCAGGTGGCTGATGGTACACCATGCACCCCAGATTCCACCTCAGTCTGCGTCCAAGGCCAGTGTGTGAAAGCCGGTTGTGACAGGGTCATTGGCTCCAATAAGCGTTTTGACAAATGTGGCATCTGTGGAGGAGACGGATCGACTTGCAAGAAAGTTTCTGGATCAGTGGAACGTGCAAGGTAAGCCCACAATCTGCGGCAGTTCCAGTTTTCCTAAATTCCTTCTCAGATTTCTGTTTAATCTGATCTTTCCTTGTTTCTGAACTTTAGAGCGGGCTACCAAGATGTAGTGACGATTCCAGCCGGTGCCACGAACCTAGATGTTAAGCAGCGCTCTCTTGGAGGCCGCCGCCCAGACAATAGTTACCTAGCAGTTCGCAGGCAAGATGGCACGTACCTACTGAACGGCGACTATAAGCTGACCTCTTTAGAGACTGACATCTCTCTGAAAGGTGCACTGCTGCGTTACAGCGGTTCCTCTGCCACGCTAGAGCGCCTGCGAAGCTTTGCTCCCTTACCTGAGCCTCTTACCATCCAGGTGCTGTCAGTCGGTGATTCCCCCCGACCTCGCGTAAAATTCAGCTACTTTGCACCACGCCCCAGTGGGACAAAACGGCCGTCCATTAACGTTATTAGTGAAGCAGGAGATGATGAATGGGCCCTACGTGAGTGGGGACCTTGTTCGAAGACCTGCGGCGTTGGTATCCAGAATCGGGACGTCATCTGTCTTGATGCATATGGCCGCCAATCGAAGGAATGTCCTGAAGAGCTGCGCCCTACGTCGTCGCAACCATGTGCTCTGCAGGCTTGCCCATTCTGGTTGCTCGGGGAGTGGTCCGCTTGTTCCAAAACCTGTGGCAGAGGCTTTCGCAAGCGCACCCTGTTCTGCATCGGACACAACGGCCGCACTTTGCCTAACGAGAGCTGCAACGCAAAAAATCGGCCACGACCTCTCCTGGATTTGTGCAACATGACTCCCTGTTGAAACTGAGCACTGAGGCTCGAAAACATCCTCGTACAGCTGTAACCTTGCACATCTGGTGCCGACCAACCCAGGTTTTTAGATTCAAAGGGCCCCTTATGACTGAGACTGCAAGCAAACTTCTTTCAGTGTTTCAAATCCCACCCATCCAACACTGGGGGCACAAAGCTGGCACACTGTACACCTGTCTTGACAGCTGTGATGGAGGATGAGAATACGCACACCTCTGCTGCTTTGGATAGTGATGTCATGCATGTTAGATTTTGAGTGTGCATGGGTGTGTATGACGATTAATGAAAGAGTGCATGAAACAACTATGCATTTGAACCGTCTGTCTGAGCTGGACTAGACAGGCATGATTCATTTGTCACAAGAGAGCATATAGGAACATATAGGAGCTATTGCCAGGGTCAAGAGCAGTAACAGAAGAGTTCATTAGTAGTGGTGTTATATAAAACGCCCTCTAGTGGTTCTCCATTTCAAAGTTGCCAACTCTGGCTTAGAGCACATATTTAACACATGCATTTTTCTTGCCAAAACCAACACCATATCTCACCTCAGCTAGGCACACGTGCTGCTAATCAAACACCACAACAGGTATTATGCATTTCCTCATAACTAAGTTTAACAATGCACATTAGCTTTAAGTTTAGCTTCCTAGGTTGATATTTTCACCATTTTGCAAAGCCATACCCGATCAAGAGGGATCACATTTTTAATGGGGAGGGAGGCCAAAGAGTATAAGTTCTATACCTGACAAGAGACTGTGTTTGTGCGTGTTTATGTATGTGTGGGTTAGTTCTGTGTGTTTGTGTGGAGATATGGTGAGGGACTTCTCTCCTACTACTACTTCATAAGTAATCCTCTCCTGCCTTCTGAGAAGGTATCTTTGTAATGAGGTATTTCTTTTTGTACAGAATATCCAAACTTTATTTATTTTTGTACAGCCCATTTAATATAATCTTGTTGCTTTTTATAATTATTGTATTTCTATTTGTTATCATTATTGAAATAACTGAAGGATGTAGATTATATATTAGAGTATTTATACAATATCAATGATCTTAGGTTTATGAATAAAGTATCACATTGATTTGTGGACCAAAATTTTTGAGATGGTGTCTTATTTTGGGTGTGGCTGCTGCTGACATTGAGGCGCTTTATGTAGCCTAAATCCTAGTCTGAGGACCCCTAGGGGTTCGTGAAGGTACTACATTATATTTTCTCTAAAAATATAATGGTATTTTTAATGTGGCTAATCTGCTCTAAATGATGGAGCAACATTAACATCTAAAGTCAGAACTCTAACTTATGCACATTGTTTGTAAATAGAAGTACATCCATTTAAGTAGATGCATACATCAAAATAAACTCAAAAGAGCATCAACATGACTAGATCTAGGCAGGACAAATATCAATACAAAGCTGCTGAGTCTGTCTGCTTGTATTATGAACCAGACAAGAAAGTCCACTGGGCTGAATTAAATCAATTTAATTAAATTAATTAGCACTCTCAATAGCTGTTCAAACAAAAGCCTGTATGACCGGCATATTCAGAAGCACAGGTAATAACCACATCACTGGTCATAACCAGGAAGTCTTTTGTTATATAACAATCTTTCATAATTTAAGAGGTTTTGTCATTATGTTACAAGGGTGGCTGAAGAGGAAGCACATTCAGCCCTGGCTAGTCCTTCTGCTAAATAATACATGCAAGCAACCAACCACTCAGTAAAAAAACAACTGACTTTGAACACCATGAGCAAGGCCTTTTCTAATGAAAACCTTTTTTCTGACGGTAAATATGTGAGATACAAGATAGCAAGATGTAAATATATTTGCTTTCCCTTACACAACAACATTGAATTTAACAGGAAACGTTTTCAGAACGTTGGCTCATGTGCAGTAACATTAATAGAACGTTCGTTATATGCTCTTTAATAATATTCTCGAAAGCACAATAGCATTATTTATACATCATTCATGGAATTAATTTTTTCTTAAATGTTTTAGTTGGATGTTATATAACGAATGCATGATACATGTTAAAATGTATCATGCAACATTTTTAAATGTTACCACTTTTTTCAGAGAACATTCAAATGTAACATCCCTGTAATGTCTGCAAATGATCAAATGAAACGTTCCATTAACATTCGCATAACCAAGAAAAAAAAACATCTAACGCTTCTTTTTAAAACATTCAGAAATGCTTTCTTGCGTTAATGGGAATGTTGGAAATGCGTTCTTAGAAGATTTTAGTTAGTTGAGTCCATGTTATTTGTCAACAACTCAAATACACGAAGCTTTGATTGAGTAGGGGATCAAGTCACAACTCGTAAACAATATATAATGGTAATCATTTAAGATAAATGTTATTTTTATGGTGCCCCAATTCTAAATGAGGCCGGTCTCATGAAAATGCGTATCAGTAGCACGATTTTCTGTTTCTATTTGGCGTGCTATTTATACACAGGAATTGACTTTGGAGTGCAGATGATACGCACGTGTTTGGCGTGCATATAGCACGCAATTTTCGCGTGCACATGATACGCAATTTGTTGGCATGCATATAATTCGCAGTTTCGGCGTTCATATAATACGCACCTACCCCACACCCCTAATCCTAAACATTGCGTATCATATGCACGCAAAACAAAAGTCAATTGTATAAATAGCATGCCAAATAGCAACAGAAACTCGTGGTATTGATACGCACTTTCATGAGATTGGCTAGGAGTTCTAAATATGTGCTTGCATTCAACTGAATTAGCTATGAACATTTGAGCCTATGAAACACGTGTTTTGAGATGCTCTTGTTTACTCTTCGTGTCGAGCTCAGGTCAGGGATGTTGCACACAGAGCGGATTCGTGAAAACACGACTCAAGAGAGATCTAAATATAGACTTCAGGGACACTAGCGAGAAGATGAGGCCGCAATTTGCCGCTATTGAAGAGGGCGAACGTGTTCCCAGCATGATCGTGCGACTCTTGTGTTGTTCCTGAGTTAACCAGCCTCATTCACGTCTGTGTGATGAGGAGTCGTGACGGCGGAGGCGGCCGTGCGTTCAATTCGTTCAGTCGCATCCAGGCCGGCTGGGCGACGTTCCTGGGGGAGGGGATCGAGCCGAGGAAAAGAATATAGCGCAAGGAAGTTAAAGACGAAGAGGGAGGACTCAGATGAGAAGTTGTGACTGAGAGACGAGTCGTGGAACACGTGGAGCGTTATGCGTAAAAGAGTTGGTTTATTTTAACGCTTGGAACGCGCGACAGTCAGAACAACATCGGCACAGTGTAAAATAAGATTTAAGACATGGCAGAATTAACGATCAAGTGTGCAAAGATTAAATAAGGTTTCCAGGGTTTTTCAACAGAAATGCACAGGAACATTATGGAAAATCCGAGGACGCAGAGCTCACAGAAGAGTTGGAAGTTCTTGCGGGACTCTCTGCTGCTTTGCTTCTTTGCCGGTAATGTGGGCTAGTTTTATATTTGCGAACTAGGAAGTAGATCAATTAAAAGTGTAATCGATTATTTATTTAAAATACAAACAAAGGAAAGTCACGTCTGTTGAAAAAAAACAGCATATTGCTGGTTAGGTATGTTTTGACGCTGGGATGCTGGTTTATGCTGGTCCTTTGCTGGTTTAAGCTGCTCCTTTGCTGGTTTAAGCTGGTCCGTTGCTGGTTTAAACTGGTCCTTTGCCAGCACATGACCAGCTTAAACCAGCAAAGGACCCGTTTAAACCAGCAAAGGACCAGCATAAACCAGCAGAGGACCAGCATAAACCAGCAAAGGACCAGCTTAAGCCAGCAAAGGACCAGCTTAAACCAGCAAAGGACCCGTTTAAACCAGCAAAGGACCAGCATAAACCAGCAGAGGACCAGCATAAACCAGCAAAGGACCAGCTTAAGCCAGCAAAGGACCAGCTTAAACCAGCAAAGGACCCGTTTAAACCAGCAAAGGACCAGCATAAACCAGCAGAGGACCAGCATAAACCAGCAAAGGACCAGCTTAAGCCAGCAAAGGACCAGCTTAAACCAGCAAAGGACCCGTTTAAACCAGCAAAGGACCAGCATAAACCAGCAGAGGACCAGCATAAACCAGCAAAGGACCAGCTTAAGCCAGCAAAGGACCAGCTTAAACCAGCAAAGGACCCGTTTAAACCAGCAAAGGACCAGCATAAACCAGCAGAGGACCAGCATAAACCAGCAAAGGACCAGCTTAAGCCAGCAAAGGACCAGCTTAAACCAGCAAAGGACCCGTTTAAACCAGCAAAGGACCAGCATAAACCAGCAGAGGACCAGCATAAACCAGCAAAGGACCAGCTTAAGCCAGCAAAGGACCAGCTTAAACCAGCAAAGGACCCGTTTAAACCAGCAAAGGACCAGCATCAAAACATACCTAACCAGCATATGCTGTTTTTTTCAACAGTGTTACGTATGTGAGTTCATAAGTTAACTTTACGTGCTACAGTTTTATGATTATTTTACTTGCGGGTTAAAAATGTCTCAGTTGTGTTTGTAAAAGTTAGTTAATGACTTTCGCTCAACATTTTGCACTATGATGATTTATAATTCTCATTTTACCGTTGCGTTTAAAGCTACCGTGGTAACATTGTTTTGAAGCGATAATAAAAGGTTGAAGTGTCAGGTTTTCTTGTTGTGATTAGAATGTTATTTAAAGGTTACAAAAACGATTCTAAGAACGTTCATCAAGCACAAGACATCATGTTTTGAGAATGTTATTCTAAGAATGTTTTCTCTCAACGTTGAGAACACGTGAAATATTAAGTTATAAGAACGTTCCATAAACATTACTTTAAAAAAAATTTGTGTAACATTTATAGAATTTTTAAAACGTTAGTGAAAGTGAGAATGTTTCCTGTTAGCTGGGAACTTACAAAGAAAAGTTACTTATGAGTTACTACTTAACAGACTAGTTTTATAAGTATTTTATATATGGGTTAACTAACAATTTCTCCGTTGTCTGTGTAAGAGTTAGTTAATACAATTTTCTTAACTTTTTGATGCTGAAAAAAAAACTTGCTTTAGAGTAATTGCTATTGACTAATTGCTCATTTCACTACCACTGCTGCCATGGTATTCTTTTAAATACATTGAAGTATTAAGTAAATATATGGACACTGTATTTATTCAGTAGTATGACCATCTGATAGCATCACAGAACACTTTTCTGGAGTTTTATGATTAAACTATGCATACACGCATATATGTAGGATGTGTGTGTGTGTGTGTGTGTGTGGTAACATTTAAAGCACCAGTGCCTCTAAAGCGTCTTTGTCCCAAAAGTGTTGACCGACAGGACCCAGAGATACAGCGAGGGCCTCTAGGGGACCACCCAGTCTGCAGGGCCCCACATTAGCTCTGGAAAGCCAGATGCAAACAGACGCCAGTCAAATTGAAGCCAAATTTTGGTGCTTCAGAAGACATAATTGCACCAATTATACTGTGATGAGACTGTGGGCAGGACAAGATAGCGCTGTAATTGTGTACCAACCATCCTTATCCTTGAGCTTGAGACATGTACATTAAAAGATTGTTAGTGCTAAAACAGTTGTATTTAGAGCTCTTTTTCAAGTATGTTGTGGCATCAAAACAGGAGATGGACCCAGATCTATACAGATGGACTTGTTAAGCAATAGTTGTGCTTTATACACCCTTCACCAGCAGTGCAAATGCAATCAAGTCATGAAATGTGTCATAAAGCTCTCTTAATCACAGATCAATAGCGTCTGATGCCAACATGAATCCAGCAGGCGTGTTTGGTGCATTAAAGAGCTCTGAGCAAGAAGCAACACATGATGAAGCGCTGATGATTCGTTCTGCAGGATCAGACTCGTCTCCAACACAACTCTAACAACTGAGAAACACTGCAGGGAGATTTCCATCAGTTGGTTTTGTCTCAATACACAATAATGTTCTTAAAGCATCTTTAATCTTCAAGTCAAGAGAAGTGAAACACTGCAAAAATATCATATTTCTTATCTTTATCTGTGTCTTATATTCCACTGAAAATATTTAAACATTATCTCTTACTAAATTTAGTAAGGTTTTTGACTATGGTATTTTCGTTACATACACAATGCTAAAAGTGATTTACACATAAGGGATTTAAAAATAATCTTAACACATGATATAAAAATAAAATCAACAAATATAATTAAAAACTAAATCCAGTTCACTTCAAATTCACACTTGTGAATTAAACAAGAGCTTGTTTTTTTATTGTGAACAGTTATTATTACTAAAACTAGAAACATTTTACGTTAAAAATAATACCTTTATTAAAAACGTATTTTATTTCAGCTAGTTTCCATGGCAACATTTCTCATTTTCGTTTAGTGTACTAAAATAACTAAAACTAAAACCTGATGAAAACTATATAGATGTTTTAAAAATAATTGTTTTTTTAAATAGGCATTTAATAAAAATTACAAAACAATAAAATTGCAAAAATGTTCTTTAACTTGAGTTAATTAAAAACTAATAAACTAATAAAAACTAAAATATACTAATGAAATCTAATTCAAAATATGAACTAAAACTCCTAAATACTAAAATAAGATTGTGATTGTGAATTTTCCCTAACCATGACGGACATCGCTAAATAGTGAAAATGTGAATTATATTATATTTCTGATGCCAGTGATCCTAAAATCAGTTCACATTAAGCAAATATTCTTGTAAATATATCATATTTTATATAAATTGTGTGTGTGTGTGTGTGTCTGTGTGTGTGTGTGTGTGTGTGAGTCTGTCTGTCTGTGTGTGTGTGTGCGCGTGTGTGTGTATGTCTGTGTGTGTGTGTGTGTGTCTGTGTGTGTGTGTGTCTGTGTGTGTGTGTATGTCTGTGTGTGTGTGTGTCTGTGTGTTTTGTAGGCCGTGGAGACGCTCAGTGTGACAGCTGTATTGAGTACTGCTGTGATGGAGCCCCTCCGTTCTGCTGCTCTTACTATGCGTATGTGGGAGACGTGCTCTCGTAAGTACACACACACACACTCACACACGTTGAGTTTCTATGTAAGGGTGTGTAATGGTTTTTCTACTGTTCAAACTGTAAACTGGCATTTGTTGAATTTCACAGTTTAGTACGGTTTATGAGGACACAGGAAGTGTAAACCTCATTAACCAATTTCACTTTGTTGTACCCATGACATTATATATATGCAGAACACACACACACACACACTCTCAGACAGCACATGTATAACGCCAGCAATGAGTTGACCTCTGACCTCCCCTCCCCCTCACACACAGCTGCTTTTCCACTTCAATCTGAAATCCAACCCACATCCCGTAATCAACCCTCGTGTCCAATTACATCTAATAATTCAATCAAAACACATTTTTAATGACCACAGTAAAGTGTTCAAGTGATAAAAGTGACTTCCGATGATTTCACACATGAAACCTCTTCAATAACTTCATTGTTTTTCTTTAATAGAGGCTCTCAACTAACAGAGAACTTTCTCAGAGCATTGCAGCAAGTTCTGAACAGTAACGTTAACAGAACATTTGTCCAACGTTGTTTTGTCTTTAATACTGTTCTCAAAATATATAAATATATTTTATGCATTGTTCAACTCTTTTCTGAAACATTATAGTTGGAAAGCGCCGGACGTTTTTTTAAATGTTACTTCCTGTTTCAGAACGTTCAGAGAACATTCAAAAGTAACGTTCCCATAATGTTGGCAAAATGATACAATGGAATGTTCTCTTAATGTTTGAATAACGTTACATTTTGAACATTCCGAAATAACATTTAATGAGAATGTCTGCAAAATCTTTTAGAATGTATATGATGTGCATTTTTATTAAATTATATAAGCAGGCTACTTTTTAAAATAATTACGTATTAATAATAAATCAAAACAATTGTTAAGAATTTAACCAATTAAATATAGCTTTAAAACATATAAGCACATGTAAAGTAATAAAGGGGGAAAAAGACTATTACAAATGATTTTCAGTATCTGAGAGTGCTTTTAAGTATCCGATAGTTTACAGACAATCATAGTTATGATCATAGTTTTTCCTCAGCATTATTGCTGTTTGATTATTACTGATGAGATCATAAACAGTGGCAGCTTTAATAAGCTGCATTCACACTAATGCACAGATGTTCTGTCCTGTTCTGGAAACAATTGATTGTGTATGCATCAATTTCATATCATAAAAGTATTCGGAGATGCAAGTGCATTTAACTTAAGTGCAAACACACACAAAAACAAGCTCAGAATCTTCGAAGAGAGAATCAATTATTATAACGCCCCTACACTCTTAAAAATAACGGTGCTTCAAAAGGTTCTTCACAACGATGCCATAGAAGAACCATTTTTGGTTCCACAAAGAAGCATTCAGTCAAAGGTTCTTTAAAGAACCATCTCTTTCTGACCTTTTTATAATCTGAAGAACCTTCTTTCGCCACAAAGAAGCTTTTGTGAAATTGAAAGATGTTAAAGGTTCTTTATGGATCCATTTAGACAAAAAAGTTCTTCTATGGCATCGTGAAGCACCTTTATTTTTAAGAGTGTAGTTTCTTAGATGTTTCTCCTCACGTGAGCATCTCAGATGCTTTGGTTGGATCTTAACCAAACCTCAAGGCATCAGTCTCTCGCTCCCACATTCGTCCAAACTCGAAATGACAATTGAAAAGCAACACATTTGGTCTTTTGTGCCGTGTTTAGTCAGGTGCCTGACCGCTCAAGAGACGGATCACCGTTGACTCACAAAGGGACGGGATCCATCAGGAGACAAATAAATAAGAGCATGGGTGGTCTATGCAAATATTGAGCTTATCCTGCCATGAAACAGGTAGTTAGTGTTTGACGAATCGAGCATCACTAGTCCTCTGCAGCGGATGTTAGTCTCAGTTTTGTTTGTTCAGGGGAACGGCTATCTCGGGGATCGTGTTTGGCGTGGTGTTTCTGATGGGCGCGGTGGCCGCCATCTTTCTGTGCATCTGTATGTGTGTGAAGAACGGCCGCAGGGCGAGAGTGGGCGTCTTCAGCTCGTCGTACATCAACACCGTGACTCAGGGTTACCCAGGTAACACAACAACACACGCAAGCCTTCACACTGACTAACATGCTAAACCAGCACACGAGAGATCACAAATGAACGTGCACTTATAATCAATTCATATTCAGTAATGCTATCCGTTTAACTGCACTGACACTATTCTAAATACACTAAATACTAGTGTTTTTGAACCATACTATAGTCAAGTGTATTACACTCTTAAAAACAAAGGTGCTTCACGATGCCATAAAATAACCTTTTTTTGTCTAAATGGTTCCATAAAGAACTTTTAACATCTGAAGAAACTTTGTTTCACAAGAGCTTCAAAAGGCCTTATTTTGCAACACTGTAACTGAATTGAATCAACATTGAACTGAATAATGATACTATTGTTTTCTACAGAGCTGATTTTGAAGTAGTTTCATTATTGGTGAACTTTCCAGCATTAACGCTGTTATTTTACTGTTTATTTCTGTAAAGCTGCTTTGAAACAATCTGTACTGTATAAAGCACTATAGAAATAAATGTGACTTGACTTTTGAAGATTTTCAATCACCTTCACTATTTGCTTTTCCTAAACCGTATTCTATTTTTAAATACATTTCTTCAACTATTGTTATTTAATTTCAAGGGCAAAACGCATTAAATTAAGACCCAGTTTATACGGGTCTTAAAGTCTTAATTTGCCTTTCCACAAATTAAGGCCTTAAAAATCACATCAATGACTTAAGGAATTAATAAAAGGCAGAATTTCATAGTCATGGCATGAATATCAAAAAATATATATTTGCAAAATGCAAAATCAACATATGAAGTCTTGATTTCTGAGAAACTGAACAAAACGAAGTAAGTGGATGCTTAAAACAAGATCAAATATCAATGGGGAATGAAAAATTGTTTTCCCTTTGAATTAAGTAGATTTTTCTGAGTCCACTGGCTGATATTTGTTCTTGTTTGTGTGTCTAAAATGAATTAAAGAGCAATGGCGATCTTTTGGAAGTTGCTTATACAAGACATTCACATTTCCAACACATATATTTATCTGTTGTTTTCCCTTCAACGCTCTTTACTTGGTCTTAAAAAGCCTTGAAGTTTTAAATATACCTTCACAAAGAAACCCTATAACAACCATTTCACACAATTCTCTGACAATTACAAGCACCTTACCAACAATAAAACTAAACTTAAAAACTATGACATTCTGTATCACTTTTTTATTAGTGCGTATATAACACTTGCATATTTATGCATATTTAATAAGATTCACATTTGCATAGTTTTTACATATTTGCATAATATGATTATAATGTGCATATTTTGACCATTTAAATGTGCCAAAACTTAAGTTTAGGGCTACTCTTAAATCAAAATGTGAAAGATAACATTATAATTCAGGGTTGTATGCATATCTAAGAAATTGTAATAAATTGTTTAATTTCTCTGTATGTTGCCACAGCGGGGAGTAACTTTAATATAGGTCACTTTTTGTATGTACGTCTATATATATATACAGTGGGTACGGAAAGTATTCAGACCCCCTTAAATTTTTCACTCTTTGTTATATTGCAGCCATTTGCTAAAATCATTTAAGTTCATTTTTTTCCTCATTAATGTACACACAGCACCCCATATTGACAGAAAAACACAGAATTGTTGACATTGTTGCAGATTTATAGGGTTGGTAAAGTGTTTTTTTTGTGTGTTTTTTTACAATACGCTATGCTCTAAATTATTATTTTTTTTTAACTTTTTCTGGCTGGAATCAAAAATGTTGTACTGTCCCTATCTAAATAAACCAATAACTAAAAAATAAGATAATATAGGCTATGTGCTTAGTAAACATCTTTTATTCAGTTAAACAGACATAATGAACATGTTAAGCAATAATTCAAGCTTTTCATCATAACGATTATAATATGTGACCCTGGAGCATAAAACCAGTCTTAAGTGTCAATTTTGAGATATAAATATATAAATAAATAATCTTTCCATTGATGTATGGTTTGTTAGGATCAGACAATATTTGAACATCTGGAATCTGAGGGTGCAAAAAAATCTAAATATTGAGAAAATCATCTTTAAAGTTGTTCAAATGAAGTTCTTAGCAATGCATATTACTAATCAAACATTACGTTTTAATATATTACGGTAGGAAACATACAAAATATCTTCATGGAACATGATCTTTACTTAATATCCTAATGATTTTTGGCATAAAAGAGAAATGTATAATTGTGACCCATACAATGTATTGTTGGCTATTGCTACAAATATCCCCCAGCGACTCAACACTGCTTTTGTGCTGCAGGGACACATATAAGGTAATATTTGACAGTTTTGCATGTTGCTCCAAATATAAATAGAGCCTATGAATCTCTCCTGCTTGTTGCTCCTGTAAACGCAGCATTCATTTCCAGTTCTGTCTCATTGCTCTCAGGTCCTCCACCTCCTTACAGCTACGATTATGAGATGTATCCTCCTGATCTACGGCCGCCTCCATACACTCCCACTCCACCCAGAGCGACAAACTACTCTCCACCTCCACCCTATCCAGGCTACAGCCGCAAATGAGCATCCATGTGTGTGCTATTCTGAGAGGACACACAAAATAATGCACTAAAGCAAAAAATGCCTGACTGGCGCTCTGTCAGTAAAGCAGGGATTTTCATTCACTCGACCAGCGCAAAGATGATTCTTACACAAGGATTGGAGTATTTTTATTTATGACATGGACATTTATGGTCTCAGAAACCTAATGAACACTAATAAACCTTATTAGGCAACATGAGACCAGGACAGGCCTAAAAACTCCACAATGTAAATATGTTGTTGAATATCAGTGTTATTTCTTTGTCAAATGGAAATACATACCTAAAATGTATCCGAGTGTCGTGATTAATTTTGATCAACTGAGGAAATAATATGGTATGTGTATTTATTCATAGGGTTTTGAAAGAGCAAGTTGTAGTTGTAGTTGGCTACTGTTACGAAAACACACCAGGTGTAGTTAACTGTTCACCAATTGTGTCCAAACAGCAAAACATTCATGCAATTTATGTCTGTTTTTACTTTTCATAATAAAACTGAAGGCTGCATGCTCGTGTTTTCCAGTGTGGTGCATACATATATTAGCAAGATATTTTATTCTTTGAGGTCTTTGAAAGCTAATTTGCATGCACATCCAAGAAAGTAGCTTACATTAAAATATAAAAAATATTTCATTTAGAAATATGTAATATGAGAATTTACCGAACTAGACTATTACACATTTATAATAATGTTTTCATGATCGTCCACACGGTGGCAGCAAATAACATAAACGAGCATAATTAAATTCTCCAGCTTGAACATAATCTAGAATCCAAGACATTTGAATGTTTTGATTTCCTTTTTATAAATTTAAATAAATAAAATGCATGCATTAGATGAGCAATGCCTCATATTGCATAGTGATTCAGGTAAAAAATAAACCAATTACATTTTAAGAATTAAAATAATAAAACACAAAATTACAATTAGGCCTAAGTCAAAAATAAATAACTGATTGAAAAACAGATTGAACTGACTGAAGAGTAAAATATTTTTGTTATTACGCATAAAACGTAGGCTATGCAAGCAGAAAAGATGAAATAAATAATCTCAAGATGACATAAATAATAAGATAAATACAAATGCATATAAAATAAATAATAAAATATATTTAGATTAAAATAAAAATAAGTTAGAATAAAATAATGCATTCTTTGATTTTATTTTAATTATAGTTGCCAGTATTTTTAGCGTGCCCCGCTCCCCCTCCCGTTCATGGTGACGCGCTGTTCTGACTCGCCGTCGCAGGATCATCGCAGGATCATCGCTTTATCATCGCATTCTTCTCAAAGCCGACGCGATCCACACACCGACATCTTACACCAAACGGATCATTTAATCGATATACAGAGCATCGCGTTTTGCTGGAAGCACGCAGAATGGGCTGTCGAGGGCTTTTCGTGTTACTGATGGCCGCGACGTCGACGCTCGCTGCTGAGGTAAGAAATCGACGAAAGCGACGCTGATCAATTATTCGATACAATGTAGCCATCATCGCAGCGATAGACTGGAACGGCCGCGATGCGATTAAGCCGGATATCGTGGAACGTTCATTTCGATACAAAATATCGCGGCGGTGTTCTTTTCTGTTCATGTCGTTTCTAAGCCAGAATAAGGTTTAATAGCCTATCTGACCTTTGTGTGTTTGTTTTATGGTCGTGTAATGTCACGCAAGGGATGTTTAGAATAAACGGGAATAGAAATGTCTTAGTGGGAATAATAGCGTTCCGCGCGCGGTTATATCAGCGATATTTAATATCCGACATACAGGATGAACGGATACTGAGTCACAGATCTATATATTAATATTAATAAACAGTCAGGCTGAAGGTTATGTAGCGAACGGCAGCGGCGTTTAAACGCTTAATGTGCCGAACATAAAGTGATTCACGCGTTATGTTTTGTTGTTTTTGACGGTATTTTGGTATTTTGGTGTGGGTCCAGCTAGTTAATGGAGGAATGTGTTCAGATGGGTTGGGATCAAACAACAGGAAACATAATGGGATCAAACGAGATCCTACTGGATCATCTGAACCCGGAAAATAAGAGTTTTATTTTCTGGGATTGATTCCAAATTATGATTCACTCGTCCCTGAGGTGTGTGTGTGTGTGAGTGTGTGTGTGTGTGTGAGTGTGTGTGTGTGGGTGTGTGTGTGTGAGAGAGAGAGAGAGAGATCATAATGGGATCAAACGAGATCCTACTGGATCATCTGAACCCGGAAAATAAGAGTTATATTTTCTGGGATTGATTCCAAATTATGATTCACTCGTCCCTGAGGTGTGTGTGTGTGTGTGAGTGTGTGTGTGTGTGTGTGTGTGTGTGTGAGAGAGAGAGAGAGAGAGTGTGTGTGTGTGTGAG